GAGGGCAAGTGGTTACCTGTGTTGTTGGCACTCCTAATCGACAAAAGATGGTAGAGGAAGGATCAAATTTTGCTGATGAATTCTCTGACTTTTTATTATTATTATTATTTGAGGCTATTAAGATGAAAGGAAATTAAATAGTGTTACTCTAAATTGTTATTCTAAAAAATGTGTCTAGTGTTACTTTAAATTCTAAAATGTATTTGGTTATCTGGTCCAAAAGATAGAAAATCCCAGGTATTATTTATCTCATTTTTATATTTAATGAATTTCCACTTTTTGAAAATCATTATACTGCTTAACAATGTTTTTGCGTTGCAAATTAGGATTATAGAAATTAGAGGAGGCAAATTCGAATTTATGGATTCATAAATAGAAATTAAATATTTTCAAGGTATGTATCAATAATCATCAAATGCACGTCTATTAGGCAAGTTTATTTCATTTCTTAATATAAGCAACATTTATTGCAAAGATGGTACTCCAGAATCTTACTTTAATGTTTTCTAAAATTAGGGTTAACGTATTTAAACAAATATGCTTTTAATACTTTACTTTAAGAAATCATAGCAGTTTTATCACTGAGGGGCATAAGAATGTTTTCCCTTATATTAAAGAATTTAAATAGTTTGTTGTCTGATTAAACGTAGATATTTTTAATAATGGAGTATCTTGTAAGGATATAAATTTATGTTGCAAAATATACGATTGCATTGTTAAGGTGTTATTACCACTACATCATGAGATGAGATGATTTGATGTGATAAATAGAACACCTTTTGACTCTCCTTATATCGATTAGCTATTATGTAGTTAGAAATTCTGTTGTGAAGCAAGAAGTATTGTGTAGAAAATACTACAACAATAACTGATAGCTTTAAAAAAAAACATATATAGTCCCATTTGTAACGAAGAGTAACTTCATGTGTCAGTAATGACATTTTTAGCATTAAAGTATTTACACAAATGAGACTCGGCGCAACATTATTGATATAAAAACTTTTGTTGCCATTTAACCTTATATTTGTATGACAAAAAATATTTCCTAAAGTCACCGATGTTAGCAACTAAAAAGGTCAAAGTGTTTTCAAATGAGTTATGTCACGAAAATCTTCCTCTGAAATCTTAAAATAAAAATCAACCAATATATGAAATAAAAGGAGAAGAAAAATAACAAAATAGAAGTAATCATTTATTTACTTTCTATTAAGTTCAATGTCAATTTATTGTGTTGTTACTGATAAGGGACTGATTCAAAATTCATTATCAATATTTGATTTCAAAACATTTTTGTTGATAATATTAGCAATAGTTAGTGACTGATAAAAAGTTATATTACAGAACAGATAAAAGAAATAGCGAATTAAGTAATAAATGTATCACATCAGTCAGTATATATTATATGTACGTGTATTCCTTGTAGTAAGATAAGTTGATCGGTTCCTGTTCTTCGGTTCGGATTTATGTATTTTGAGCCTTCAAAATGGTTGAATTTTTTTTCCACCAAGAAAGATGAATTTATTCGAAAACGAAGAGTAAATTGATTAAACCTTTATTGAGGTCCACCACCACCACCCTGTTTCATTCGTGCCTGAGCTTCCTTAATGTAAGGTTCCAGAATTCCCATGTGATAGGCAACACCGAGGCCAATTAAAATGAGTAGAAATAGAATCACAGCTGCACCCATGTTAAATGTGACCTGTAATTAAAACTATTTTATCGAATTTATGTGAGCTGAATGCTCAAGAGAATTAAATAACCTGTTCGCTCAATAGTTTTATGCAACTTTCTTTACTTTTTCACTCGAAATGTTAGTTTCAGGTCAAGAGAAGGAGAGACTTGCTTTATTTATTAAATACCTTCTTGTTAAATGACTAAAACAAACACTAGTCTGCTGTGATCATCTATACTTATTTTATAAATAAATGATTAAGCAATTTTAAATTTGCATAACTCAATGATTTTACACACTTCGTGAAGAAGTTACAAATTTCTGTTGATTTATTCAAATTTTAAATGCAAAAAAGTGATAAGAATATTTTCCACCTTAATTTAAACATATGATAAAAGAGATTGAGCACTCGAACTTATTAAATAATATTTGGAACAATTTAAGTGCCCATATTTATTATTTCTCTCTTTTAGGAAGTGATGAAATTTTTGATAATGTTTAAGTGAATTCTGTCAGTTGTTCTCTGCACGGTACATTCTTAATCAATCATCATGTTTTAGAATATTCTACTTTGATTGTTACGGTTACAGATGAATGCTTGAAATGATTTTACTTGTCGTACATAAGTTGGATGCTTCAGAAGTCCAAGTAGTGTTTGATATTTTGATGTTATAAGGACTTTTTTAGAGAAAAAAAGTCAACTAAAGAATGTTCCGTTCAAATCTTGCAGTCGAAAAAGTATTTCGTTTTCTTTCTGATATTGTCATCTCCTGCGAGATTTGTGAAGTTGACTAATTTATCATATGCCTAAAAGTTGATTACATACATTCTTTCTAATTAACAGCCATGAAGTTTCAATATTTAAATTTTAGACTATTAAAAGAATCAATTTCATTTTCGGTATTGGAGAAGTTTAAGGAAATATCATTTATCCAAAAAAAAGCTTAAATTACCTTAAGTTATTCAATAATCGCTGTTTATTTTAATCATTATTCATCGATTTAACAGCTGTTGTATAGATAAGTTCAAAATTAATTGCAGTTAAGTTTAATGATTTAAATTAAATTCACCTTTATCTTTACACATTTACCTAATCTTGCTAGTTCTGTGCTTAATTAGTAGCGAAAGCGCTGATTCGTATTGACCACTCAATGCCATTTGAGTTTGTTTCACTTTGATTTTTATTGCGAACAAAACTGAATTATCTTTTAATTGTTACTACCAAGTCTAGAATTTCATAATTTAAATCTAAAAGAAGCAATTTATGATTACTATCTTTCATTTTAATTATTGATGGCTACCGATATCGCGTTATCCCAGGTAAGTTATTGGAATCTCCGACAAACAAGCAAAACTGTGTTTGATTTACTAAAAAAAATCAACGTGGATGAAAAGGAATGTTAATAAGTTTGGAATTGATATGTTTTACGATTTAAAAAAAAAAAAAAAAACGCAGATTCACTGGATTACTTTGCTTGAGATGATGAAAATGAGAAAATATTTGGTTACAATCTGAAATACAGTGTTTTGAAAGCACGCTATCGAAAGCTTTTCCAGGTATACTTGTAGTTTAAGTATTCTTAAATTTGAATTGTTACTTCAATTTTCGCTTATGAAAATCATATAATGGTTTTTTTTTTTTGCTTTAAAATACAATGCCAATTTTTCTTTTTTTTTGCAAATTTCTTTTCTTTCTTGGAGAAAAAAAGTAATAAGTAATAATTTTTCCGTTGCAATGATTAAATTATATAAGCAGTTTTTATATAAACCATAGATTGCTTTTTTTTAATTTTCATAATTAATTACAAAACTCTCATACTCATTCTGAAATCGAAGCAAATTTCAAACGTTTCAATCCGAAATTTTATATATGATTTTTATTACGCCAGCTGATCGCACTTTGGTGCTAACTTCTTCTAAAATCTATTGTTTAGTAATCAAAAGGATGTTCGCTACCTGTGAGATTGAAATCATTTTTAAGTACCGTTATCAAAATTCTTATCCCATTTTTTTTACTTTTTTTCTGAATTTAGAATTTTAAGATCGTCCATAATTCCATTTTAAGGAAAGCATATGTAGAATTCTAGAAATATTCAAGGATTTTGCATTGAAATAGTTCAGAATTCCAGAAATAATCGTAATCCTGAATTAAAAGTTCAGTTCAGAATTATAAAGATGGTCAAGACAATTTAGAATCTTTGTGAAAAGGACTTCAATTTTACGAATAACACCACCATAAGAAAAGGATTAAAAAGAAAAATATTATACCAACCTGACTTTATTATTCTCCAAAAATTTTATTTGACAATATACCAACTAAAAATGACTAAAATCTCTCCGATATGTACTTCTAACAACTACGATAGAGTTGACATTGAAATGGTGCTTATGCGACAAAATAAACCCAATGATAATATTTGTCCCCAACTCAATTTTTTGGTGAAAGATACTTCAATTCTGCAATTAACACCACCGTAAGACTCACAAAATTTCTAATGTGGTAATAAAGCTTCAAAAATAAAACTTACGAAGATTATTGGAACACTTTGTTTTTCCCCCAAAACTTTGTTGATAACAAATCAATTAAAAATGGCTTAAATCTTAACAAGCGACCAAATCCTTATTTAATGAAGAATATGGACATATACCAGAAAAGTTGGCAACACTTTCCTGATTATTTCATTGATAAGTAAAGTAGACTTGTCTGACGTTATCCCTTGTTGAAATCAATTTTACCTTTTACATTACATGGCTCCGACATGAACAGCAAAAAACAAATACGCAACAAAACTGACTTTTGTCAGCTTCTGCTTTATGATTTCTATATCTCATTTTTTAGCTTTATTGGATTATTATCAGCAGAAATATTAATAAAATTTGTCATACTAAAACTGAAACTTCGATCAAATTATATCATTCAGAAATAACAGATAACTATAAGTGTGGAAAAACGACTGAGAATAGAAAAAAATCATTGCTAAAAACTATGCTAACAATACAGAACCGTTCAATAATAGTAATGGAGTTACTGTAATACAAAACTTGAGCATTTCCAAGAAACAACAAATAAAAACATTCAGAAAAAAACTAAAACTATCATTATTAAACACAAAAAAATCCCAACGCTGTTTTCTAAGATATGAAAACTATATATATATATATATATACAAAATGAGAAATTCGAAACAATTAGTTTTGTTATACACTCAAACACAAAACAAAACAAAGCAATGCCGAAGCATTAAAAAACAATTTAAAAATATCGAAAGTTGAAACATGAAATTACATCCTTTATCAATGAATCCCGTCAAATCTATCATTATTCGGTTCACAATTTTTTTGTTGTGAAGAAATCCTCCAGTTTCTTCCTTACACTGTCGAATTCGCCATTGCTGTATTTTGTATTCCAAGTCCATAAACGTTCTAATGACTCCATGTCATTGGCACTACCTGAGGGAAGTAAATAAGACAGCTAAACTAAGAAAAAAAAACTTCATCGGAAATTTGAAAACCATAAACTGAGAAACAAATCCTTCCTTTCAATATTAAAAAAATAGTTAAGATTTTTGCACTATTCATCTAAGCCGAATAAACCATAAATATAAAAGTTTCAGTCGTTAACTGATTAAATAAATGACGTTTCCAAGCAATGATTTTACAATGATGCATACACATACTTGCTATCTCAAACCAGACATCTTGGGTCAGAAATATAAGTCCTCGGAGCTGCTCAACATTAGCTCTGAACTTTTTCATTTCCACTTCTTGTTTTCGATTATAACGTGGTTGCCAAACCGCTAGTAGTGATCGGATATAACATTTGTGAGTTAACTCCTCAAAAAATTTTCCAGAATTTCATCTCTCCTATTTTTAGAGGTCAAACTTCCAAAACTTTTATGAACTGGAGTGAAAAACTATTAAATTAAACTGGCTTTCAAATTCAAAACTTGCTTGAAAATCTTTCTTTAATCCTCTTTCTTTCTGTTTCCGTTGCGAACATTTTTGAGTGTTCCTATTTTCTTCCAGTAAAGCAGTCAGCAAAACAGTTGCAAAATCTTCAACATAAGGCAAATTGTCCTGAAAATTTCAGAATCAGCTGCAATTAAAATGGTAAATGAAAATGGTTTAGAGTTTTGACCTAATAATCTAAATAGGAAAAAATTCAGTAACAATCGTCAATATCAATTTTTAGACCTAGTGAAAAAAAAAATTCAAAATTTTAATGAAGGAGTATACCAGATCACTCTGCATACGGAGGAGGGGCTCTCTGAAATGACGTCCAGATATTTTCAACTGAAAAAAGAATAAATAAATAATATTAATTGCGGACTTCTACGATAAAAAAGAATAAAATACAGCATAAGATGTTTCAGAAAACATACAAACCCTTTTGAATATCAGCTCCGCTTCGGAAGCCATATTCGCTTTTAACAACTCCACAACAAGTTCAGCAAGACCATCATAAAAAGCACCAAATTCATCAAGTTTATCCAAAATATTTCCTGAAATTATCCTCATGAAGCATATGAATTAGGTTATATATAAATTCAAGAAAATTCCCACCTAATACAATTGTAGACTAGACAATATAACAAAATTTCTTGGTTATTACATCCCATAAAAGTATAGAATAAGGTTAAAAGCATGGTGCTTGTCGACAAGCAAGAAAATGGCTTTTTACACTTTGAACAATTGACCTCCATTCCATATAATGATAGAGGGTAATGTGCAAATAAGACGCGTAAATAGCCACTAAAGATGAAAAAATGTGTTTTTTATGTCTGCAGTGTACTTCAATTTCATTTTCTGGTTGTTATTGAGGATTTAAGCAAGTAATAATCTAAGTTAACTTATATGTAAACAGTATCCCCAATTTAACTTCACTTTTAGAATAATCTAATTTAGATTTAAAGGATTCCTCAGCGCTGGAAGAATATAAACAAGTACCACCAATATAAATAAGACATGGTACCTTATATGATTCTCGATCAAGCAATGATGAAAATTTAAGAAAAATAAAAATAAATATAAAAGTTCAGCTCACGAAGCCTTTTCCCTTGAAACATATCATTCAGATTTTTTTCCAAAATAGTATGTCTTATAAGAAGATCACAACCCGCACCAGTACGATATTTCTGAGCGTTTTTATACCATACATTGAAAGCCGCATCAAAACCACCACTACAAATTAATAAATTATAATCTAATAGTGCATCAACACTGAAAAGACCAAATGTATAGACACTAGTTATTTCGAAAAAAGAACCTCCGCAGATAAAATTCAACAACAGCACGCAAATAAGCACAAGAGCTACGAAGAAAGCCTAAGTCAATCAATATATCGCACAAATTCTGAACTCCTGATAAATCATTTCTCTTGAAAGCTTCAGTAAACAGGTCCTCAGCAACAGCTGTGGAACGATCGACAAATAAATCATCTGGAGCTGTAAAGAAGTTTATTAATTACAAAATCTATTTAGCATCGATAGTTTTGGACCTCTCCAGAACTCTCGATATATCAGGAATATAAACTCACTAATCGTAAAAAATTATACTAATAAATAACATACGTGACTTAATAAGTAATAGATTTCGATAATGAATAGCATAATCGATTGCTGCTTTCATCCCTTCTTCAATCAGAATTCGTGTGATCAATTGCAAAACAGTTGAATTCGGCAATGCGACACGACTGTTCTCTGATATACTGCAACAGTAGAATATTAAATTTGAAACCTTAACCATACTGATATTTGGAACCAACAACTGAAACAATGAAATTTATAAAATACACCATTTACTATAACTTTTTAATAAAGAATTGTGTAGATCATCATTAATAATAATTAAACAAGAAAAAAAAAGTACAAGCAGTCCATAAGCCACAATGCTTCGTTCACATCTTTTCCATATACAATAAAGACTTCAAAAAGTTCAGCAATAAACGTTTTTAAATGACGATGGGATGGCCAAAGTTCTTTAGTCAAAAGCTGCCTCAAACCAGTAACGTCCTGAAATAAACATAGAACTTCCATATTTTGATTACTGGAATTACTAAAGAATCTTTGATAACAAAGAATCCTCATGACTTAATAATACCACACAAACTTTTTTCAGTCTCGGGAAAATCTCTAGTGGTGAAAATAAAGATATTTGATTTACCTTTCTCAAAGTAAGCTGTTTCAGTTGTTCTATTGATGCAATTTTGGTTTTTGAAGTTACCAATTCATTGTTTTTGTTCTTGCAAAGTTTCTGAGCTTTCTCCTGACAAGGTATAGTAGTGGCAGAAACCGCTCCATCATGAATAGCGGTCGAATATGGACTTGTTTTTAGGGTCCGTAATTGAAAATTTACTACAGGCCTCAACTTACTCGAAACAGTTTGCACATTATGCTGATCCATCTACAAATAATGATAAGTTCATTTTTCGTAATATAATATTCAAAAGCGACATATCTATTTCTGAACAATTTGACATATTAAACTCGTTCTACTGAAAACTCAAGAATTTATCGATAGTAAGTGAATCAACAAACAGCATTTACCGATTTCGCTATATCACGTTCACTTTTATATGGTAATGTTCCTCGATTCTTAATAGTTTTCTTCGTTGCAACATAAGGACGCGTTGAGCGCAACCGAACAGAAAATGTCCACTGCAAAGCAAAAATTATAGAATTTAGAAAATTCTTTAATAAGAAGCGGTTGAATTGTGGTTAACGTACAAAGCAGCGATATATTGGAAATAAAGCAAAAACTGGCAGAGAATTGGAGAGGGTATAATTTCCTAAAATTTTAAAATAGAATTAACGAGAAAATGAAACCCAATGTTGCCTTCGTAAGCTTGTTCTTGATTTAGCGCCCAATACTCTATCACATGTTTGCGCGTTGTTAAACAGAGTCATCGATGTGTTATAACTGCTTGGAAAACTGAAATTTTATGCTCTTTATGCCTTTGCAAACATGTAAGTGGATATTAAACTTACTGATTTTGTTCTAAATAATGAATTATGAAATAAAGAATTAGATTACCTTGACATTAACATTTCATAAGTTTGAGCAGGCAAATCACCCAACACTTCATCGATACTATGCCAACCATATGTTTCAAAGAAAGACTTCAAAATTTCAATCACACTTTCGCTAACTAAATCAAGCACTTTTTTAAATCAAACGTTGAAATTAATCAACTTTTCCATTATAAACCCATGGATAATGGAGACTTATTTATCCTGATTCTTTGTACGAAATGTTTACCGTTCAGATAAATGAGAGAATTTCAGACAAAATATTTTGAAACTAACGTTCATCCTTTGTAGTACTTGCGCTTGCTGGAATGGAATCCAAAAACTCGGATGAGTCATTGAAAGAAAAGAACACACTGAAACATGTCTGACTAGCAAACAGTGAATTTCCAATCTATTGAAAGAAATAAGAATTAATTGCAAATGATACGTCGTCGTACTGGTGTAACTGCATAATGCTACGGTTCAAAATCTGGTGGCATAAAACTACTTTCTATATGATTTTGACAGATATCACATCTCATAATTAGGCGTGACGTTTGTCACAACCATACAGAACGAAGAATAGTGTCAGTAAATGCTTACTGAATCTCAGAAGCGCTAAAAATATGTGACTTACTCTTGTTTATCCCGAAATGCATATCCACACCACTTCACTGTTGGCCGATGAGCTATTTCTACGTCAAGATTTGTTGATAAAGATGGACTAGAGCAAGCTGCTGAAATATTAAAAAGAAAGTTAAATAAACCGTCAGTTTAACATATAAGTTACCAGTATGTGGAACGTTTTACAAAATCATCCACCGAACCATTAAAATATTACAGAAATTTGAAGAATGTTGGTGAATCGGTAGCACAGCCTCCACAGGAAACTTGTATCCATACAACAAATACCTGCAAGTGTCACCAGAAATTAGAGTAATACGATGATAAAGCGAGAAAGCAATAATTAGAATAAGTAAACGATAACGGACAAAAACAAAAAAACAAAAAAAAAAAGATATCTTTAGCTTCTTTTAAAAAGTTAGAAACATATATACCTGCAATTCGAATAACGTAACATCACTGCAATGCACAGAATTTGAAACAAGATTTCATATCAAATCCTAACAGGACCGATTAAGAAGAAAATGAGAAACTAGTCATCACAACACTTTGGTTCCAAACTTCTGTAAATAAAAATGTAATGAATGAAACAACTGCATACAAACCAACTTGAGCAGATATAGCTGGAAAAAGCAGCAACATAATCGAACATAGAACATAATCGTACAAAAAAGTGACTATGAAATAAAACCATTAATAAACTCATAACATCCCATAACAAGAGTGCGATATCTATATCTAAAATACAACTTAAAACTTCGAGATTTAAGTGCCTCAAATAAGGTACCTTCAGATATATAAAAAAAAAAAAAAAAAAACGAATAAGATTAACATATTCTGAAATAAAAAAAGCAAATGGCGAATAGCCAACACAAACAAATTCAACAAAGAAATCTTATTCATATTACATGAGATAACAAGATACTTAGCTGTATGTCAGGTTTGCGATGGAAACCAATTTATATATATATATATATATATAAACATAATTTTTTAACCAGATATAAAATAAAAAATGAAATTTTACCTTTAAATATGTGTGAGCAAAAAATAACACAATAAGAAATCTATAAAATTCATAAGCTCATAATGCTACTATCTATTCTTATAAAATACTGTGGAAATAAAAAAAGCCGAAAGACTAAAGTATGACAAATTTCTAATTAGAAAAAGAAAAACAAAACAATTAACAAAGAGACAAAATAACAGGTCTGGTTTCAATAATAATGATGGTTGTTAAAGCCCAGCAACAAAAAGGCAAAAACAGCAATGAAGAATTTTATTCACATTATTAAAATAGCATGCTACTTGAAACAAATATAGAAAAAGTGAAAAGATTGGGGTTTCTGAAAAGCTGTTAATAAATTATCTACGCACCTGGAAACTGCAAAAAAAAAATCAACAACCAACAAATGCAACATTTGCAACATTAACAAACATCGGTCAGGAAGTCTTATTATAATCAGATCTTATCAATTTCTTTTCTTTAAAGTGGAAAAACTTTTAAAATTTTTGGATAACTTTTGAATATAATGCTGAAGACACCAGGAACAAAAAACATTGTCTTGAGCGAATAATTCTCTACTAATATACATAGCAAAAAAATGGTAATAGTACTTCGCGAAGTAAGAAATTCTTCATTTCAACACTTTTGAATTTATTTCCTGAATTTCCTAAGAAAATAATCCAGCGATAATTCGTACAGAGTTGCACCTACAGAAATAATCATTTAAAAAAAGAAATTTATGCCGACAGCTGTAAACCACGCTTCTGACGTAGAACACGGGAAACATAAAGATAGAAAAAATCAGCATAAAGTACGGTTTGAACGACTCCAGATATGACAGCAATGGGATCGAAAAAACCTTCTGTGTAATAGCGGTAGATCCAATTCAATATATATAATGCGCTGGAATGTATTATTTTGTAATAATGTTTTAAAAAATTGGCTCCGAGGCGTACTACGTGTATTTTGGATCTTCGCATAAAATATGTACATACCGATAAGAACCAAGTGCGAACAAATAATGTGCGGTGATGGTTTCGGCGCTTCCGGTGCGAGAAAGCATGAAGAGCTGTGGCATAATCGCAACGGCTTCCAAATAAATAGAAAATGTCCACATTACCTAGAAACTTTTTATATAGATATGACTTCAGTCATTCGAGTAAAGAAAAAGAGATAGAACATAAATACCTCCATGATTGTAAATTCGTGGTTAATAAGCAGAGCCAAAAGAACACACGGAAGCACCAAGAATTCGATACGAAATGTATCATGATTTCGATCATAAGTTGCTTTGAATTTAATCCACATCAAATACAGAGTACCAAAAGATGATACCAGGAAGAAAACCTATAACAGGAAACGACCGATTCGTGGTGATAAAGTATATTAAAATAGAAAATGTAGTTTTCGTACGTTTATAAAAGGGTATAGGCATAGATTTGAATAATACAAATAAGTTAATAAAATGAAAAGATCCAAAAAATTTAATAAACATTAAATGTTTTCTCCAATCATATAGCATGAAAAAAGTAATAACTGAAACTAATTTAAAAACAAAAAAAAAAAACCTTCATAACCGAATTATAGACCGAAATAAAATTGGTGAAAAGATCCAAGTATCGAGATGTGAAAACAGCAGCAAAAAGAAGTTGTGATCTGCCTGATATACCAGCAACCGATCGTGTTGTCCACATCTTTAGTGCCAAAATGAAAATGGCAATAAGATGCGCCAAATCTGCTGTTAATCGAAAGATGTTCATCTAAAAGATACGAAAATTACCGCTGATTAATTTATTGTTGCTCAACTCTCCAGCGGAAGATAGATGTTATGAATTACTCGCCATCATGTACAAGCAACAAACAGTTCCTTGTGCCTAACTGTACTAACTTCAGAACTGTACTAACCAAGAAGCAAAATTGTGCTGATTAAAGAGAAATTATTTATTCTGACCATATATAAAAAGGAGTAACACAATAATGGCATATATAAATGATGGTATATGTAACAGCCATACTATAAATCCTACAGTATTTTCATTCCATGGATGATACACTTTTAACTGTCAACTGAAGGAATATTTCGTTTGTTTGTTTTCTCAAAACACCGTGCAACATTATAAGGTGTGGCTAATGTAAAGTACAACACAGTGAACAATTACCACTATTAATAAGACTATTATTAATAACGATAACAATTAACGACTAGAAACTTTACTGCACATAAAAATTACGATTAATATAAATTTCCCTGTGACTATTACCTGAATAAAAGGATAATTTGTAATTTAGAGGCTATTTGCAAATTTCTCCTAAAGAAATTTACTATACAGAACAACAGGAAGAAACACAACATAACATGCTAACTACTTGAGAGGAAACTAATCTCCCAGTAACTCATTTTCACAGCCATCCCTGCCACCTACATCTGTCGAACACGAAAATTATTAAGGGTGAAAAAGCAGACCGTATTCACCAAGAAATCCAGTGACACGATGAAAAACATCCATCTCAAGGGGTGCCACTTCTTTAACTTCGCTAGGGTACTCATCCACTGGCTCTACAATTGTTTGCAAAAAGACAATTTGTTGTCGATTCCAGAGAAACATTAAATATGAAAGAGAGCCGTCACTTATACTTCATACGTTGCTCATTTGCTATGCATCTTTTTTTCTCTATTTTTATTTGGCAGGTAAGAAATGCATAAAAATGCCATTTTTATTAGACATCTGCATAAAAAGAGAAGTAATTCTCTTGAAAGAGAATTGGTGAAGAGAAAGCTATTGAAGTGAAGAATATTTATGACAATGATTGGGGAAAAAACAAAATAACATCGAAGTGATAAATTACAAATTTTATCCATATTTTCGACTGTTAAGGAGAGTCATTTATCATTGTTCCAATTTACCGAAATTCATTGGCATATTTTTGTTTTTGCCGGCAATTCGATTCGTACTAGCAATTATAACTTAAAACTTCCATGCTACCGAGAGATACTGAAATCAAATCCTGTTTCTGATAGTGATTATTCAAGTTTCTGATAGCTTTATTAACAGCTAATAACTATTAAATTCCAAATTTTTTGAGCATGACAACCATCGTTTTTGTATGCTTGCAAAACAAAAAGCTCTAGTAACTTCTACTACTTTTGCAGTGATCGGAAACTTTCCTGGCTTTTGTGATATTTTACTTATGAAGTAATTAAAACAAAATATTACTAAAATGAATTTCTAATAGCAATATTAGCGATCGATCAATTTCATCGGCAGCGGTAATGAATGCAATCATTTTTCAATATTTCCAATGTTTCTGATAAAATGCTTCACCAAATAGGCTTGATCTGGGTCTTTTCGAGCTAAAAAAAATGTCACTATATTGAATAAATATAAATGTCACTAAGAGTTTTTTTACTTACTACAATTCTTCAAACATTCCAGCGACAAATGAGTGAAAGCTTCATCTTGTCTATTGTGTTCCAGCGCTTTTGAGAAAATGCTTAAGTAGTTGAAGTGAAAATTATGTGTCTGAAAACATTAACAAATATATAAACAAGTCTGAGGAAACACAACTGAAATAAACTCCGCACAAGTACTTTCAAAAGTTCCTGACAACAATATTAGTAAGAAGATTTCTATTTATGACTAGTTCATGAAAACAGTCAACGCAAAATTCATGAAAAAGAAATTGAAATAGTTCTAGAAAAACAATTACCTCATCAAGGTGTAGAGCACATAATAACTTATAGGTCTGAAAAGCGTTTATCCATCGGATACTTGCCTAAAAAATCTCATTTTGCCTCACTATTTAATTACAAATAAATGTACATTTAAGGAAAAATTTTAGAAATGTATTTAAAATTATATTTAAATCTTACTTTTTGTAGTTGACGACTAGCCTCTTCTAGTTTCTCTAAAGAAATCAGAACCGAAACAAAGGTTACAGAAACTTTCCATTCTGGCCAATATGTCTTCGCTAAGGCAAGCGCTGGAAAAAAGGATTGTCAAGGAAATTATATGCCCAAGTATGTCCTCGCTAAGACAAGCGCTTGAAAAAAGAATTTTTAGGGAAATTATGTGGCTTTCAAATTTATAATGAATTTATACTTTTGCTGATAAGGTTTTCATCATCGATTCTGATTGCATAGTGCAGCAAATAAATGATACCATTTGGAAAATCAGAAAATTGGAAAAAGCTGCAAACTTTCAAAGCTTCTTCGAAACCAAACCTAAAAATAGAGGAATTTGCCAAAGTGCATATTAAAAATTAAATTTAGAGAAGGGTGGCTGAGATTCTTGTTCAGTAAACTAACTTTGTTAAAGCTGCTGAAGCAAATGAAGTTGAGATAATTTCAAAGAAACCGGACTGAATCCACTTAACATCTGCGAGTGTCCTAAACATTTGCGAGCAGGTAATTAATGACTGAACATTATCCTGAGAAAGTTCTAAGCTCTGCTTTATTAGCTTCCTCAGCGTTTTCTGATTTCGAATATTTGAGTGAAGATCTAAAAAATCTAATTTCAGTTTAAAAGAATTAAGTTGTCGAGTGCAGTACAACCTAAATTTTGTGTAGAACTGATATAGTGAAGTCGGATATATAGAACAATAACATAGCAAAAAATGGACAGCTGAGTATATAACGTCAATTCTATTTATCGTTATCAATAAAATCATACCGGAAAACTATTATAAAATAACTGATAATGATCAAATATTTGGTGTGAGTTTTCAAACGATTCAGTGAACAAGTAACTTCAAATTTATATACTATTACAACTTGCTTACCTTTAGGAACAAACTGTTGCAAGTAATAAACGAAATCAGATGTCATGCTAAAATTCCTGAATTCTTTCAAATGTCGAGCCACAATCAATAAAATATTGTCAACAGTTAACTGGATCAAATTATCATCGCTTTGTCTAAAAATAAGAAACCGACTTCGTCAAGTACGCACAAGATTATTTTAATTTAAAGTGTATTAGTGTAGTTTTTGTGTGCTAATCTGAATTTTTTAAATTTACATTCAAGCAAAATAAACAGACAAAGAGCTAACATCTGCTTTATGTATTCCATGAGAGTATTCCAGTCAGCTTTACGAATGTATAACATAATAATAGGTTGAAACAGTTCAGAGGAGTCTATCAAGCTATTTGTTTTGATAAATTCATGAATCTTATCGACGTCCTGCAATTATTTTCAATCTCTTGTCTTAATTTATTTTATTTTAATTATTTCATAACACATTTCTAGTACTCGTCGAGAGAAAATATTGATTACACTCCTGAAAAGCAAAACATAGAGCATTTTATCTAGTTCTTCTATTGAACTTAAGTTCAATTTCTTTAGATTGAATATACAACAACCAACTTGTAGAAATACTCGTATTTTGCCTTTAGTGAAATCTTTTAAAAATCTTATAGAGTAGTGAGTACCTGATTCGAAATATATGCCTTCAGTGTACTAGAAGATATTTCGCTACTGTTCTTTACAGTAGCAATTTTATTTCGAGCAGTTTGCTCTTTCAACCACCTGAAAAATTATATGAATGAAAAATTTTCAAGAGCCACGAAGACCTTCCGTTTAACTGTTATGTAGCTTTTCACCAAATTCTAATTCCATATGAAATTCGAACATGCCACTCACTTTTCCAGATTGCTAATTCCAATCGCAACAGGCTCTAAGAGCTTATAAGCAATATCTTCCGGTATTTTATACTCCTTGATAATATTCAAAATATGAACAAGCTGGTCAGTGTTCCATTTGTTCTTTCTTGTGTTATCTTTTTCTGTGAGAGCATATTAGTAAGTATCGCAAAACAAGGAAAAAATAGGAGATGTTATCAAAAAATAAACTTTTTCGTAAATTATCTAAATAGTAATACATAAAAAAGAATAAGTCGAACCAAGTAAAGGTTGCAACACTAGCTTCCGTACAACACCACAATTCAAATGATTCAAATCATTATAACCAAGTGATACAAAATGAGCCAATATTTCGAGGCGTTGTTCAACTTCAGTTGCGCTAAACAGTACAAAGCAAAACTCCGAAAATTTAAAGAACCTGTATACGAAATAATGATTAATACAAAATAATGGAAACATACCGTACAAGTAAAGGCACCACGACGTGGATCTTGGTGCAATTAGGGTCCAAAATCTTCAAAAGTTCCGAAGTTAGCAGCAAGGAGTCATGAACAGAGAGAAACTTATGCGTCAAAACACAATACAAAATGTGTTCCAGCAAAAAATGACTAAAAATTCAAGAATATAAGTTGATGTGTTGATTTTCTTCATATCACTGCAAATTTAGATAGACATTTTTTAGCAATAAACTCAAAATTCTTACGCATGCTGAGTATTTCGATTGATATGAGTAAATAAAGCCTTTAATTCGCCCAGAGATAATTTAGCATTTGTTAAAGCCTTTGAAAAACAACCAATCCATTCCATATGACGTCCAAGATCTGAAGTATGAAACAAAGTATAACTTCACGTATTTCGGATTGCAAAATTCATAGTTATAATATATTAGAGAGTAGAACTACAATATTGTTGAATTTAATGGAAAAAACACACTACTTTCGCCCTTAAAAAAAGATTTGGTAGATATATGCAAATCAGTGTGAAAGTATGAGAGGGCTGAATAGAACATTCCATGGACCGCATGTCGATTTGCTTCTCGAACCATCAATTTGAAAAAACCACGTTCCTTTCTCACTTCCCGAAGTATCTGAAAAAAACGATTAAGTCCGAAAATGAGAATATATATTTGCCAAAATCGTTAAAAACTGACTTTAATACAAAGCCGTTCATGATCTTTGCCCATCGAGTCGATGCCATTACGCGCTAGTAGCCACACAAATTTCATTACCATTTCATCAGTGAGTAATTTCAACGACAAATCCGATGAAGAAAGTGAATCCAATAACTGATAAAAATTACTCATCATTACTTGGTTTTCTGTTGAAGGATTTAAGTGCTCAAATTTTAAGACGACTTTAGTGAAATATTTGGACAACACACTAGCTTGAAATTTTGGATATTGCGTTTCTCGATAGCAGTTTGACAGCGCACCATGAAAATTAGCGGTTCAATTTCATTCCCATATTCTGTAATAGCATTCTGCAAGCAGAAAAACATTCCGAAATAGCTAATGAGTATTACGTCAAACACTTTTACATCAAGTACAAGAATAAGAAATTTTAAAGTTTAAAAAGGCAATTAATTTATAAATTTATAGACAAGCTAAAATTTATTTGGGGATGTTTACTTGCACTAATTCCATCGCGTTGTTGTCATCATTTTTTAAATAGCAGTATATCTGAGATGCTTTCATTTCCATGTTCACAGGTAACCTGCGCTTTTTTATTTCCATTATCATCGAACTAAAAGAATATTGGATAAATTTTATGTCTATTCTGAGCGACTAAATTTCATGAAGCATACATTTTAATGGCCATAAAATAACGCAACATACTTCACTGCACTAATGCTTCCTGTCATTGAAAGCTCCCGCAGAATAATAGTGAAAAGTTCCTCGTCCGGTTTAAGATTAAATGTTGTTTCAATTTCTTTCAACATCTCCAGAGCATCAAATGTATGTTCGTTTTCAATTAAGATCCTCAAACGACTCTTTACCGCTGCATGACTTATTGGAATGTCTTCAAAATCGAAATTATAATTTCGGAAAGAGATTTTACATAACTTTCAAATCACTAACTAACAAAATAATCATTAATTCCAACAATTGGATCAGCTGATATTGGACTTTCTTTAGTTGAAACAAGCATTATATAATCAGAAACCTACTTGCATGGATTAGTGCTTTCCAAAAACGATCAGTTATTACAGATTTAACACTACAAGTAGCATCACTCATCGGCAAGCCACACAAACTCAACAAAAACGGAACGTGAGTGTCAGCAGATCGTTGCAGAAATTCTACAAGATTGCCTAAAGAATAAATATACTTAAAGAGAGACAAAAACGGTTTTCAAATATATGGCATGACAACGATTTAATAGAAGCAGTAAAAAAAAGTTTCTCCCTCAAACAAAAAGAAAAACCATTTTTTGATTCAAGAGGTAGCAAAATGCTGTCGATAAAAAGATCTGATTGAATCGTTAATCGCTTTTGATAAATGTCTCGCAATCCAGCAATGAGAAAATCCGGTGACTGTTCCATTTCATGCTAAAGTTTCACCAAGTTCTACTGTTCACACTGATTTATTTTAAAGGTAATCAAAATGATCATGATCAAGAAACGCAATGAGAATTTTGATGCAAATACACCATGAAATATCAAATTCGTTTTGAAACCAAAACTGAAATATCATACAAAGTAATACTTGCTGTACAAGACTACCTGAGAAAAGGAAAGTGAGGGAAGATGTTTGTTCTTTTTAGTATTACCACTTTTCTTCACAATATGCTCAACTGATTCAGCGAATAGCCACAGCTGGTTTGTTGAAGCTATTTGTTCTTTCCGAAGCAACATTAAGCAGTGTCTTTGTCTCGGGAAGATAACTGATTTGTGAAGGCTGAAAAACCAAAATGTTGCATACTGTTCACCCTCAACATTAATAAACAGCTCATCCTGATTAACAAATAAAAAGCAGATCCTTTAAAATGAAAGAAGAATTGAAATATTTCAAATAAAGATTTAGTATGAGCAATTTTTCCTTCTTCGAAAAACTCAGATTTTGTGTAATATAAAGAATGAATTCAGAAACACACAAACGCCGTGCGGTAGTTAGCCAAAAGAATCGTCGAAAATCATGCATAGCATCACATCATTTACTTTCTGAAAAAAATTGATAAACACACACACACACACACACACACACACACACACACACACACACTTAATAAAACTATTCTATGGCAAAATCATTTTCAACAATTAAAGTACCACTTCCCTATGAGCTAATGTCACCCAAGTGGCAATACTATATCACTTCGACTGCCCTCCGTCCCACTAACAATTGACTTCCTTACCTGATGATGTACCTCGGATTGTCTCGAAACTACCAGTGAAAAGTTCGCTCTGTGAAATTGATCGTCTCCCTCAAATTCGCTTCTAATTAAGATTTTTTAGAACAATTACAGCACAGCATAGAGCCTAGACTCAGACTATAGGACGATGAAAGTGGAGCTCAGACTGAGATATCTACTCTTCTTCGTTTTTCAGAGATAGCACTGTTCCAAGTGTGTTAATTCGTATTTTCTTTATTTAAACATCTACAGTACAAAATTAAAATTAGCCAATCGGAAATCACGAAGTTGCTTCTGGAGTGAGTGACCTGGTTGTGGACATATAGACTGACAGTCCATGAGACTTACACTTTGCAGTATCTTCCGTACTGGATGCGCTCATACTTTGTGTCGAATTAGTTCTTTGCTTCTTTCTGTAACATTCTTTGTTCTTTGTGAATCTATTAAATAACTATGATTCTAACTTAAAGATTATTTTGTCATTTTCTTGACAAGATTTAAGCTGGAGACTGCTTTATTGCTGTCCTTAAAAAAAAAAAAATGATGTACTTTCGTCCAAATGATGACAGATCACTGAACTGCGCGTTGCTCATCTCCTTCATGCTTCTTGCTTCGCTTACTTCACGTCGATATTCATTCACTTCTGTGATTTGCATTGCTTCCAGTACTGCTCGCACTGTGATCTAAATTACTTTAGAACAGCTAAGCAAGTTTTGGTAAGTAATTTTAATTTTAGAATATAATGAAATCATCAACACAATTTCATTAAGATAGAATTGTCCTCAAGCGACAAGTCCTATTCGTTCAATTTCATTTTCTTACTTCCATTTCAGTTTTCTTTTAATTAAGTGAAATAAATAAAGAAGACCTTAATATAATAAAATGGCGGTTCTACATAAACTGTTCTCAGTGGCGTGAAATACAAATTGTTGAGATCCACAGAGGTGCCCTTGTGGAGGCACAACAAGTAGATCTGTTCGATAAGCTCGACACCTAATTCATGTGGCGTGGCAGTGACACGAACACCTGTCATGTCTTCATAAAATGCCTCACCTGTTAACATCACAGCTACTGACCTGGATAAGACTAGTTTTTATTCCGTAATCGTTAAATTATGTTTTGCATGCACATTATAATCATGTTCTGTGTTCTGTGTCCGTTGTGAAGAAGAAAAGTAAGTGAAACGGAGATTTGTCCATTATAAAAAATCGAAGACTAATTTCGGTATCATTGTTACTTACCTGGATGGATATCCCTGTTTATAAACGGTAAATTTTTTCATCCTGCCGAATGAGCTATGAGTTTGGCATAAATTGAAAAGCCGACGCATTGTGTGAATATTGAACGATAATTCCTGAGTGACAATTTTTTGGATAAAGTCCTATAGTCAAGTGCGTCGCTTTTGTTTCAAAAATTTGAAAGCTTTATTACACATTTTGAATGTGAAAGTTTTTCAAGAACGATTCTAAAACTGGTTGTAAGGATTTACTGCACTTTAAAGCCAGGATAATTGTCCAGTGTTTCCTGGATACGATAAATTTCTTGAAGTGGTGATAGTGGATTCGGTTCTGACCGTAACCAGTCGAAAGTTGCATGGTCCCGATGTAATCCAATTCGTCGATTTGTCCATTGAAATAATTCATCATGCAAAGTAATTTGTTCTACCATAGTGATGTGTGAAAATATGAAATTAAATCGCTTCAACTATAAACTAGAGATTTATCATTGAAGTTTTAATATATTTTAATTATACAATTCAGAGATATTATCGAGAAACTCACTTTCATCTCTCCAAATATTTCTTCAATGATGTCATCAAGTGTTATTAGACCAACAAGGCTGTAACTTTTACTGTCATATTTCACCACCATTGCTAGGTGTGATATGTAACCTGAAGATGTTTAGGGATGAAAACAATAAAAAAGAAACAATGAGATCGAGTGACAGACAATATATAATGGTCAATTGGAACAGATTGGCTCAGTGAATTGAAAAAGTTGTGATATAATTCAAGTCATTTGGTAAATTTATGAAAACATAAGAAATTAATACTAATTTTTTAAAGAGAAAAAGCTTCTTTTTGGTTATAAAATCAGGCATCTTAGAAAGCAAACCTTTTGGTTCGAATGCAAAATTCTGTCCTTCCATTTCGTTTAGCAAAGGTTTTACTTGCATCTCTTCGCATACAAAACGGACCTAATTATTTCAGTTATAACTTTTTTCAAACAAATTTAAAGTTATTAATCAAAATAGTAATCAAACTCATCTAACAAGTAGTTTCAAGTTATTGGTAAGAACCTATATACTTTACAGAGACATTTTTTCATTCTCTTATGTTTTCAGTATTTTTATTTTGCTAATTATCTAATTCTGCTAATTAAAATGCCAGGCTTTCGAAATATTGATGGAATAGGTATTGTTAATAAGTGATAAGCTACTTGATAATAATAACAAATAAGATTGTTAGTATGAAATTTTTTCATTTATAATTTTTCAATCCATGTGTAACCTAACTTGTTTTAAATAATTCAATTTTTTAAGTATATCGATGACTATAATACTCTTATTGAAGTCAGTAGTGATGAGGTCCTTGACATTTAATACTGCAATGACTTTGCTTCTCTTTGAACCTTCATAAACTGGTATACGGCTATAGCCTTTTTCTACTATCGAAAGAATCAGCTGAAAAATTAAGTCTTTTTTTTTTTTGGAAGTTTAGAAATTATTAGCTGGTTTTCAAAATCCCATTTTTATGTTCCGGGACGAAAAGATAGAAAAATAATAGAGAATTCTTATATTTCTATTAAAGTAAAAAAGCCTAGTAAGAAAATTTTTTAAAAAATTAAACTATTTTTTATAAGTTAGATTTTCATTTCAAAGTGGGAACGAAATAGGACAAATGATCGCTGAATCATAATTCCCCTTCAACGTTTGATTGTATTTTAGTTTTTTATTAGTAACTGTGCCATTAATTCAAAATTGCACTTCTCTCATTTCTAAACAACTCTATGTTACACATAAGAAACGACTTTGTTGTCGAGAGTATCTGTTGTTGATAAGAGAAATGCTTCATCAATTTGTGTCATTACATTACCAACTCGAATTCTTGGTAGATTGATTGCATTCTTTAGAATCTCTGCAATGCTATTATAACTATTATAGCCTTCATCACAAATAATTAGATAAAAGCGTTACAACGATTAAAAAATAACTCGAGATATATACCTGAGAAAACTGCAGAACTTGTTCTTGCTGCTTCCAAAATTAAAAATTCTATTTTACTTCTATCGTACACTTCACATCCTAATGAATTAGAAAACTTTTTTGAATTGTACAAATTTACAGTTGGATATTTAGGAATTATATGGAAGTAAAGCTCATTGATTTTAGATTCTTTTACTTTTCTAATTAACAGTCATCATATCCTATGATTTTATATCAAAAATTTAGCATAAAATATAGAGTGAAATTAATGAGACTAAATAACCTTGAGATCCAAGGACTATGTCTAAAATCTTCGAAATTGGCCAAGCAACAGGTGATAAAACAATCATTGTAAACCAGGTGACATAGCGTGTCTTACTGGCAATTTGTAGACCTCTTCGATTACATATCGCCTAAACTATTAGCACAGGTAGCATTCTATTGTAGTATATACTAGCATGCCAGTGACAATCTATCCATCAATACATCAAAATATTCCTTCCATCTTACCAATGGAAGTAATTCGCCAAAAATAAGAGAAATGATGCATGTCACAAGCGTTAACGGAAGAAATGGTAATCTACCGTCACTTATCTGAAATACAAATATAAAGAATTCTTTCGATGAAAAGTTCTTTTTTAGTTTCCTACATAAATTATGAAATTTTTTGGAAAATGACAATTCTTTTGAATAAAAAAAATTTAAGAAATGTAGTATAATGGTTTTATTACTATGGTCAACTCACGTATTCAAGAAAGTTTTCGAGTAGCAATGATAATCCACAATTAATAATTGCATTAGCTGTTGTAAATGTACAAATGAGCCAGTTGAGATGTTTGCGCACCGGAATGATATTTTTAGCTAGACGGCTTTTCTGAATTTCAATTTATAAAATCAAAAAGTGTTGAAACATTTCCTCTCTTATTAATTAAAATTTATCTATTTTTTAATAAAATGGTTTGAAGTAGCAAGTAATAAACTTTTCACCGACATTTTTCAGCTAATTTCAAGAAACATACATATGCATCGCCCACACGACTGATAATATTTAATTCACTAATCGCCACCGATGTGAATGACAAATTAAGACCCGAGAAAAGAGCACTCATTATTAACATCAATAAGATTATAAGAACCATTGCTTGCAGTGAAAAAGGCATCCAATAAGGACTCCGAGATGCCAACAGTTTCACGCGTATCTAAAGATAAATTGATAATTTTGTCTGAAACAAATATATATTTCCACTTTTTCTAGATTGTTCAAAGAAAGGTGTATTTGATAATCGAAAAATATTAAGAAACTAAGATTAAAATAAATCAGATATTGACTATAATCAACTTTTCTAACATGAAAAGTGCATGCGAAAATTTGAATTTTGTTTTGATTCAAAGAAATGGGTCGTTCCACTTTACAATATTACTGATAAGATTGTTTTTCAGAACAACGAAGAATACTTCACTGAGATTTTGTTCAGTAGTTCGATTAAATCATTTAACATTTAAATATGCTATTGAAATTTGGAATCGATTTTTGCATTGTGCCTAAAATTTCTCAGCAAAACTTTAAACATTTAATTAAACGAACATTGCTTGAAGTGGCTTTGTTATAAGACGATGGTTTAACACATAACAAATAAAAATGGTTATCTTCAGGAATACCATCCTTCTGTTCTACCACCAATGCATTTTCATACGAAAATTCATCAACAACATTCATGTAGTAAACAGCTTTTTTCATGCGAAACGAATCCTTAATTATTGAATTAGTAATTAATATTCGTGTAAATTGCAAGTAAATTTGCGTTTTATTAATTTATTTTAAATAAAAATCAATAATGGATGCTGTTGATTCTTATTATCAAATTTTACAAGAATTTAATTTGAATACCACACAGTGGTCTGCGTCAGTTAACCAAATTGATTCATATTTGCTGGGCCATAAATTTGCTCCAAATAATGTCATTGTGAATTTCGCGTTTGGTTTTACTGTTTCCACGTCATGTACCGAGCCACGTCTTACTCCCACTACTTTTCCCACCACTGACAATTCCCTGTTCTAATTAACTGATAGCTTGATAGTACACATGTAATGTTGTAATTGAGAAATGATCGAGAGCGTGATTTGAAATCTTTTTTTTTTCAATTATAATGTACATATATTAACTGATTCATCGGTGAGTATAGTCTAGTGCCTTAAAGTATGAAATAAATGCTAACGTTGCTATAATTAACAAATAACACTATTAACATTCAATTTACATTAAAATCTTTGAATTCAACATAGTTTAACAAATTCTGCTTTAATAAATTCGAACATAAATGTGAATGCGAGGTAGATCAGCATAAAATATAATTTCAGTGCAACCATTTCCAAGCAGTACCCATTTGAACAATAATTTTATATTTGAAATTATGCCCATTTATTGTGCCACCTTTTTAAAACCATCTTAATTTAAAAAGTGTAATAGGTTGAAATTTGAAAAGGAGCAATAATTTTTTATTCAAATCAATTATAAAAGTAAATAATAGGTTCTATATTGATCGTAATCAACAGATTATTAGAATGAAGTTCTTGCTTAGTGTTTTGAAGTTATAAAAGAGGCAAGCAGAAATGGATCTTCTTTTGGAACTCATTTTGAAACTCTGATCAATCTAAAGGATTGTATCTTAGTAAAATCACAATGAAGTTTTTTAGAGGAAAGGAATAAAAGAAATTAATGAGCAATAAATCTCTTTGCCATGCTATCCGTAGCTGTTCATAGTGATATACTTTGGGTAAAATGAATTATACTAATTGCTTTTTTTGTATATCACAAATCTGCTCTTCTTCATCTTCAAAGACTGTCACTCACATTTGAATAATGTCTCGAGATACACAATATTGCAATTTAACTCAGAGCATTAACACAAATTTATTAATAAAAATCTCATTACAATCAGTTTTGGTGAATTAAAAACAATCTTTCCTACATTGTGAACTGTTACTTTTCAATGTTAATGCACTCTCTTTTTTTTCCCTCTTAATAATGAGTCAAACACTCCGTTAATATTGCAAATTATCGATTTTGCTTTATTTTATTATCAACAGCAAAGTTTAACAGTGAAGATATTGTTTCTTAATTTTCATAATATTTACTTCCAATTAAAATTTTTTAAAAAAATTAATCGCAGTAATTATGATGAGGTTACTATCATGAGGGAATAACTAGAAGTTAATTATCTTGTAAGTCTTTAATTATTGTAAGTCTATCTTGTAAGTCTTTCTTCGTATGAAAATGGTACGCTGATATTTATCATACATCACAGTTTTAGATCAATTATTATGGTTGCACGAGAAAAAAGAAAGAAAAATAATCTAGCGAAAGATAATTGCATAAAAAATTCATAGTGGCTGTCTTTATCTAGTTGTCTGAAAAGGAAATTAATTAATTAAAAGTAAATCAGTGGTGATATGTCAAGTAATTTCTAATAGAATTATTGTGCGGATGATTTATATGGATAAAAATTGTTTGTTGTTTGATAATGATAAAAGTACCGATTATTTGTTTTCAATCATATGAGTGACTTTATGTAGATTCAAAGGATTAGGTCATATAAAATTACTACATATCAATTTCAAGATATCTTCTCTTATCGCATTAATGATAATAGATAGCATAAAGCAACTTATCAAAATCATTTTTCTCCACTGTAATATCTTTGTTAGAGATAACTTATCAAATTTTCTAAAATGATAATATTGTATATATGAAAACATTTCTGTTAAGATAGATATCTTTCTACAAATATTTATTTAATTCTGTTTCAAGATTCTGTTATCATCACCATGTTTTTGCACTAACGATTCATGGCTGGAATTCATATGTGACTGATAATGCGCAATCAATGAAATGATTAGAACAATGTTTATCAGTGAAGGTATCAGGTGATTGCAGCGGGAAGATTGCAAGAAAATGTGATGATGTTTATCAACAAGACAGAAAGAAAAGGAAAAGATGATATGTAAACACATGTATATCAGTAAAACAGTCTCGAGAGTGATTGCAATCTGCAAAGTAGTGCAACGTGCACCTTTTTTAGGCTATGATCCAGTGCGAATATCGGTGTGGCGAATTTGAACTGATCGAAGGTCCTGACCAAAATGAGATAAGAATAGCCATTAGGGCTTGCGCATCATTTACCTAAATTGGATTTGATGATTATAATTACATTGCATATCATTTAGTTCATCTATAACTGTGCAAATAGCGTTAATATGACAAAGATAAGTAAAGTGCACGCTGTCATAGGAAGCGAAGTGATGCAAAAAGCAGTAGTTGGATTTAGCCAATTGGTTAAATTAGCTGGATGCTGGGGTAGAACCATTTCTGCATGGCCTGAATTACGACAGTATCGAGGATATGCGATAACAGTTAGTTATATGCTTTTTCAGTTATTATGCATCCTGCAATATTTTTTTCCTGAAGCAGAAATAGAAGCTTAAAATCAAAATTTTCAATCTTTGGAACTTCTAATTTCACAATTTAAGTTATATCTTGGGAGTCTGATGGCTTAGAAAGAAGACGAAAGATTTTCTTGCAACTTTCAATTTTTTAATATTTTCAAATGCTTCGATAATTTTTTTTAGCAAAGAAATGAGCCAGCGGAGCCATATTCGAAATTTATGGACCTTGCTTTGACAACAGGAACGAAGAAAATACTGATAACTGGAGCACTAGGACAGCTTGGATATGGATTAGCAACTACTTTACGGTTTGCTTCTTTTTATCTAAGTTTTAAAACTTTTTTTGTGACTGTGTAAATGAATACATAGCATCAAAAAAAAAAAACATTTTTCTGTTTTTCAAAAATGTTGCCAATATTTCCTATCGAATTTGATGAATTTCTATGAATTTCATTTCCTCCATGCTATTCACTCATTCCCTTTGTTTAGTATCATTATCAATGAATTACCTATTAATATTACTTGTTTACCCTATTATAAATTGTAGCGATATTTTGCTGACAGTCTAATAGACGAAATTGCTTTAGCAAATAACACTGTTAGTCTTTTTGTTTATTTCGGCATTTTATTTGTCACAATTCAATGATTAATAAAATAGTTGGTAAGAATTTTTCTCTTCAGCAGAATATACGGCGATGATATGGTAATTATGACAGATATCGTAAAAGCACGAAAGGAGGAGAACTATGGTAAAGTTTTATCCAATTGAATTTGTAGGTGGCACAGCTAAAATGTTATAGTTTTTTAATCAAAACATTTGAAGAAAATAGCCCGTCGAAATACCATATTTTACAAATTTGCCGGGTTGGAAACGAGAAAAAGTTTGATTAAAACAGTGAGTTGTCCTGGCGGAACTATTTGATTTCTGATTAAAAACAGTGAGTTGTTGAGTTTTTTTCTAGTTAAACAAATAAACATGCTGTTGCATTCCTGATCCTGCACAACTTGAAGTGCATTAGCAATATATTAAAGCACTTTTCTGAAGGCCTAATTTATGGTTTTTTTTTTTTACTCATTAAAAAAAATAAAATGATTTGCATCGATGATGTAAACATTGATATCAATGTGATAACGTAAACACGTAATCATGTGTGAAAAGAAAATCTTTTGTATGATTAGAATCCAATTAAATTATTTTCTGGTGGACACATTTGTTTCATTTTGCTTTTTTCCCCTTTATAAGGTTTCATTGATATTAAGAAGTTTTAGATCCGTTCTATTATCTGAATATTCTGAACCAATCAGCTATTGATCAAATGGTTGTCAATCATAACATTGACACAATTATCCATTTTTCTGCCTTACTCAGTGCTACTGGCGAAGCAAATGTTCCGTTGGCACTTAAGATAAATGTTGAAGGAGTGCAAAATATTTTGGAAGTTGCCAGGTTGGTTTTTGGTTGAAGAAATCATTTCATTACTTTGCTGCTTTGCACATTTCTTAGAGAGTAGAAAGAAACTTCTTGTCACAGACTTGAGATTATCTTGTATTTGACATTCTTTTGAGTTAGAAATTCAAAATGTTAGAGTCTTTCATAGAGAGAATTTTTCGCCAGTTATTTACTTATTACTAAATGTTAGATTCAAACAACATTTTATTTCTTTTAGACACAAAACAAATTTTTATCTAAATTTAGACAGCACAAAGCAAAAATTTTCATCCCAAGCAGTATTGGTGCATTTGGTCCAACAACACCCCTCGATCATACTCCCGACTTGTGCATCCAAAGACCGCGTACCATATATGGAGTCACTAAGGTTAGTGAAACCGATAACTTTTCTCTCAAATTCATGAAACAATGACTGGGCTAATTCTGCTTTTCCATTTCAATTATCAATAAATTTCACCTGTGAATATGATGGTTTTTATTAAGGTATATGCCGAACTTCTTGGTGAATATTACAATGAACGTTTCGGCGTTGATTTCCGTTCATTACGTTTCCCAGGCATTATTAGTGCTACACAACCGGGAGGCGGTACAACTGGTGGGTTTGTAAAATGAAATAGTCTGAAATGTGCAACTTCATAATATCCCTTATCAGAGATTTTTTTTTTAAATTACTGAATCAAATTTAGATTACGCTGTACAAATATTCTATGATGCACTAATTTATGGGAAACATAAGTGTTATTTGCATCCGAATTCACGATTACCAATGATGTATTACGCTGATTGCATTACATCTGTCATTTTAGTGAGTTCAAGATTTCTTCCAGTAATCGAAAATATTTCATCGATATGTTAGTCCATAAATACCAAAATAGACTGATACATCTTCATGCTACTGATTACTTCTTAAATGGTTATGTTAGTGTTAACGATATTTTACTTTCAACTATATTTCATCTACGCTCAAATTAAACTGAATTTTTAAAGAAATAAAATATCTGAAGGTTTCAGTATTTATCAGTGCCAGGTGAAAAATTAACACATCGAACTTATAATGTTACGGGTTACTCGTTTACACCGCACGAAATTGCAGCAGCAATTTGCAAAGTGATGCCAAATTTCAAAATCGAATATGAAGTTTGTCCGATCAGACAAAAGATTGGTTAGTCTTATTTATATGGTTGTTTTCAAACTTTTTCATGTATTCATCATATTCGATTAGTTACAACAAAACAGAAGGATTCGATTATTCAGAAAAGAAATTTTGTTTTTTTTTTTTAAAAATTCTTGCCACAATTTCACTTATTTTACTGAAAAAGACGCTTAGAAATTGCAGCTGATTCTTGGCCCAAAAGGTTGGATGATACAAATGCAAAGAAGGATTGGAATTGGGAGCCAATGTATGACTTAGAAGCAACCATTAATGTAATGTTTGATTTGGTTAAACGTCAACTGAATGAGGAAGGAAAAAGCACTATTATATAAATAATTGAGAATTTCAACTCGATTAGCTTTAATCTTTCTTGCTTTCTTGCTAGAAGTGTACGAGCCTCATTTCATTCCTTTACTTAATGATTGTACACAATGCTTGTCTTTAAGCTGATTTAACTTCTTGAATTTCATTCCTGATTTTCCAACTTTTTTTCTAAAATCTTTAACTCTTTATGCATCTAATTCTAGAAATCGTAACAGTTGCATTTTTCCCTTTTCACGATAGTGTTTTCCGACGATGTATATTTTTGATTCTCTTTCCTAAATGAATCTTCCAATTAGTATCGTTTCCCGAATATTTTCAAACACAAGACAGTATCATGAAAAAATTCCGCATCTCATTAATCAACTAAATATTGTGTTTTGTTTTATGATTGAGAATCATGATTTATTCTTTGAGTGATGAAATTTTATTCTTACCATTTATAGGTTGAATGAATCTAACTCAGTGAATGAAAATTAAAGAAAAACTAGTAGTATTATCTATAATCATACAATTGAAAATCTAGTTAATGATAATTTTAAAAGCTTACGATAGCAATGCTATAATCAATAGTAAAGAAAATACTGATGCTAATCCATTACGACCATACGGACATATTCTTACCTTATCTTGAAATGTCACTTATCCTGAAATCTCTAAATCGTTTTTGCACAATTGTTTCTCCAAGAATAAAATAAGAAGCAATTGAACTCTGACATCACTAAAACTAGAATTTTTGGAAAATCACGCAATATAAGAATCATATTGTCGATGAAATTTTCTCGGAAACTGAAGAACTTTTTAAACCAAATGCCCTCTAAGTGACCCTCACTCCATTTTCACACTACTTTGTTGTCCTACTTGAATTGCAATCATTTCTTGAATTTCAGAAGTAATTCAAGTACGTAATTCCGAATTAATACACTCTTATTTCCAGATACGGCTCTTCCATACTCTTCTAACAAAAGTGAAATCCTATGCGCATAAGGGATGGGATTTACCTGCATGTGTCCAGCAAATCTTCACCTGATATTAGATTTTCACCGGATATTTCGAAAACTTTTGACAAGGAACTCACCGCTCAATAATTGTAAAACAATTTAATATATTCAAACCCAGCCACGAGTCCGTCGTTTTCTATAAGCCTATGATGTTATTTACCTTACCTTTACGAAAGAGAATTTCAAGGGAAACATTATACTGTTGAGACGCAGTACAAATTATGCTTAACTCTGTTGTTTATTGTTCCCACTCCTTTTCACAGTTTTTGTTATACATTCTCTGGGATTAAAGAGAATAAAATTGAAAAAAAAAAACCAAATTCTAGAGAACTATTCACTGCTTTGATTTCTCTTTCAAAACATTTCTTATTACAAGTCTCAATAAGCTGAATTTTTGAAAAAAAAAAAAGTTTATTTACAGAATGATAAAAACATTAACAAAACAATTTGGAAATTTGGAAATTCATAATAACGGCTTGTCGTCATCGCTGTTAAATCAAGAACACATCCGCAACAAATCCTTACAAGCTGCAAAATTTGTGCTATTTTATTGGAGTCTGAATGAAATGACCAAAAAAATTCATTATTCGTTGATCAATAAATCATCACTGCCAATGTTATATTCAAACAATTTTGACGATTCATGAAACTCGAATTTGGAATCAAAGTACTTTTAACAAACATAATGTTGAAACCTGCGGCAAAATCACATCAGATAATATCATGAGAACCAATAAAGACTTTAAGGCACTAAGAGATTAAGTGGTGAGAACACGGCGAAAATACAGAAAATAACATTAAATAAACAAAAGTATTTTGTTAAAGCAAAATGAAAGTTGATTCTAAATGAAAAAACCTACTGTCAAATTGGAGTTTCTCTTCAATGTTTCTACTTTTGATTGTTGCTTCATGATTCTGCACGAAGTACACTTCACCGTTCTCTTTCGGTATCCAGCCATAGTATCGAGCATATTCGTTTACTTGCTTATCTGAAATATATCTCTGCCATTTTCTTGAAGATTATATTTGATTGAAAAATTGCTCAGAACATAAGAAAGACCAAAGACTACCGTCAAAAAAGTCGACAAAACCAAAACAATTTGCTGATTTCAAAATGTTAGAAGTCACATGAATAAGTCACACTGGAATCAGATAAGTAAGGGAGAGCATAATTATAATAACATGGTGTCTCATAGTTATCATTTCATGCTTACAAGTACAGAGTACTTATCAAGCGAGTTTATTTGAAAAGAAAACAGTAACAGCAAAATTTTTAGAAATGAAACTCACCAGAAACTCCGCCTAATAAGCGAACGAGAAGAGACTTTTCAATGTTCTGGAAAGTAACATTGATTACTTGACATGCATCTGCAAATAAAGCGTTTAAAATTGTTAAAAATTTTTCAAATATGTCAATCCTCCCACAGAGTCTATAGAAAAGATTTCTTTAAAAGATACCGGAAAATATTCTTATCGGAAAGCGAGATTAAAAACGTACAATTTCGCACACTTTCTTCAAATCCTGGTACTGCCTTGATGATTTTAGGAATTTCTCCAGGCTGTCTAAATGGTTCATTGACATCATCTAGTGGTCGATAATCCCCTCGCATCAAACGCCAAAATACAGCGAAATTGCAAGATTCCAACAAAGCCCCAATGTCAAATATTCTTTTAAGTTCCTAAAATTATATTTAAAAGAACCATATTGCTAATTTTTGTTACGAAATTTTCAGAATAGCAAATAATGAGTGACATAGGGCACTTACTAGTGAACCAACTCGGCTGGAATCAATTAGATATTTTGCGAGAGCATAATCACTTTTCGGAGCCATCATCATTGTTTTCAACAATATCAGCTTCACTACACTCTCATTATACCTGATATAAAACTTCATTTTCTCATTTGCTTTTTTTGTGACATTTCAATAAGTTCTCAAAGCCTCAACGGTGATTACCTCATGACTAGATTTCTGAATCCTAATCAAATGAGATCATCAGACATAAACATTCTATCCCTTTCGTCACTAACCATATAGTCCCGACTTCCATCTTTTATTTTTCATCATTAATTATGCCAATCATCAAAAATAGCCGACTTCTCGCTTATAAATAACAGGTGAAAAAGTCAACAGAAAACAGCTCGTCTCTGTGAAAAACTTTTTAAATTTGAACATCCTCTAAGAACTTATAAGGTAAGTAAAATTTAACACATAAAATCACCCAAACAATACTTCAAAGAAAAAAAAAACAAACTTATCGGGATTAAGTTGATAAAGTTTTAGCGTGGTGACCAGTATATCCTTGTCATATTGGTTTTCCTGTACCATTGCTTCAATGCAACTCTCTAATGTTTCAACATTATTTGGGTTATACCGATTCACTCCAGTTATTGCCTGATCTAACTTACTTTTTAACTCCACAAAAATTGACATCGTTCGTGCTATAAAGGCTGAAATAAAATTACTTAGGTTTATAAAACAGAGCAAATAAGATATGATCAGATATCAGTCAAAGTTGTTAACAGGAATCGCATCTCCACTCTCATATCATTGAGCTCATTCACTGATTCCTTAACAGTAAGATTACAGCTTTCTTAACCTCTATTCATAACCTAAAATATACATCCCAAACAGAAATTATTACTTCTTTCTAGGGCAATAAAAGTCACTTCCGCACTTTTCTAACCAGGATTAAAATATGTATTTACCCAAAGAAAGATTTTTTTTTCTTTTTTGCACGCGAATACTCTACAGCAAAAGTTTAGGCCCCATTTACCCTAGCTTAGTTGGGACATAATGGACAATAAAAGAAAAATTTACAACAAAAGATGTAAAAGAATTAAGATCTCAAATATTCTTAATTTTAAACGTTCTTAAAACTATTCTTAGAACGAGATTTTCTAATGTAAGACTCGTTTCTAACATTTAACATCAGTTTCTCCATAACTGAAATCAACAGACTACAACGATAAAAAAATACAGCGGTATTTCTGAATTAACGCATAATTCCAACAGATAATGACAAATAAGTTATTTACCAAAATAGTAACCACCTGACAAATGATATAAACATCTGACCAACACACGGTTAAGGAAATATACTGTGCTGGAAGACGAAATATATGATTGTTTAATAATTACAATTTTTTGAAATCAAAATGTACTTTCTTCTCAGAAAAGAAGGAATGTCCAAATACAAGGTAGTGAACAAAAAATTGAGATTACTAAACATCTTGTAACATGAATGAGCTGATTAATAAATTAATAATTAAACCCAACAAAAATACCGATAACAAATTAGGCACATATAACACAGAATGCAATTAAGCAAAATCTGTGTTAGGCAAATACTCTAGACAGAATCAGAAAACTCCGAGAAACGAAAGGAACTGGGAAGATAAAAGTAATTGTTAGAAAAGATTACAGATTGATATATTAATATAAAGTAATTTATATTCCGCAAACAGAAGATAATTTAAAATTCCAAGAATGTGAGGTGAATAATTTAGAATTCCAAAAGTTTAGAATCCAAAGGTCTAACATACATAACAAATACACGAATTAATGCGCAGATTCACTTTTTTTTTTTAAATTAATAATGCAATCTGTATTTGTATCTCAAGAAATCATGGACAAACTTCACATAAACTCCGGAACCAACACTGTCATATTTAAAATTTCAAAGTAAGTTCCTCCCATAATCCTGCATGTTTGGTGGAAGCAATGCACGAAAAAGATTGTCGAATATTTTTAGAGCATTTGGAAGAGTACTCGCAATGTTTCGTGATAGCCACGTGTGCTGGAAACGGCTGCGAATTTCAAGAAGTCTGGAAAAGTAAATGGAATTAGTAAAACGAATCACATTCAACTTACAACATTTTTCCGGAAAATCTTACGAAAAAAGTTTGATTTTCAACAAGTTATCTGAAAAAAAAAAAAAAAAAGAACGGATAATTAATAATGGATAGTTTGTTGACGAATAATTTGATCCAAAGATGTAAACAAAATAAACCTATTAGCAAGATCAGTGCGTACAACTGGTGGTAAATTGGACACTCCAATGTTAACCATTTCATAACCAACAAGACTCGTTTCTTGGAGCAATCTATCGCTAGGCGAAAATGAAGATTTTTGATTCTTTGGTGATAACGATGGGTTAATGCCATACGTGCAAAGCGACTGGCCTAATCTGCAAATAAATATAGCTTCGAGAACTTTTAAATGATTTTAAAATTAAACCTTTCAAAACATAAAAATAAACCAACTTGCAAGCAAGAACCATAAGTTCGGTGATAATTTGTATTTCGGCCAGCACGAGTGCCAATTCATAGTTATAAGGGAGATGTTTTTTTGCTCGATCTAATATTTTCAAACTACGTTTTAATTCTATCCGTGCTTTCTGCAAAATTTGTTCAATTTATTAAGAAAATTTTTCCTTTATAATTGGTAAACAAACATGACAGTGTCATACTCTTTCAATTATAGTCGCTTACAAATCTAAATAATATGTACCTTGAAAATGACCGGAGTAAGTCGTTCTAAAACCATATTATCTGGATTTAATATCATTTCTACAAATACTGAAATTGGTCTCTTCTTGTTTGATGACGGCGATGGTGACTGTTCTTGCACTTCCTCAGCTGTAAATAGAATCGAGAATTGTTTTCGATTTCTGTTTATTGGCCAGCAAGAAAGATATCTCTCCTGTCCAAATAAAATTTTTCTATTTAATCAGTTTTAGAAAACTTTTTATGCCACTATATTTTTATTCTTTTATTATGTCTAAGAAAAAGGAAGCTGTTAGAGAAAATAAAAATTTAAAGCAAAAATTATTTCCCTGCTTTAAAGAAAGTTTATGAAAAAATGTGAACATACTGCTTTCAGTAACTTTTAAGCCATAACTATATCGTGTTATTTCATGTTCAACTTTTCCAACCGTAGACATTTGCTTGAACAAAGCTTCCATATTACTGCAAGAACCACTGATGTAATGAACACAATTTTACGCACGGAGTATGTTTCAAAATAAGCATCTGCCAGAATATAAGACACAAAAAACTGAAAACTTTAAATGCAAATATTTTATTTTTCGAAGAATTTTCTGAGCTTTAAAATTGTTGTGTTATGAATTCCATCAAATGTTGAAAGCCTAGTTAACTCACCCATCCAAAAGAAAGTGTTCCGCCGTTATTCGAGGCAACAAGAAACAAAAACGTTTTACATCAACAGATTTGTTCCAACAAACGCCTAATGAAGCTAACTCAGACATATATGACAGTGATGGTGGCATTACTTCGCAGCCGGTTGATAGATCGCACACCATTGTACCTAATCAGAGATACGGGAAAATGTGCCTTTATTTAACAATAAATATTACAAATAAGCAAGAAACATTTAAAAACTAGCCTAAAATTGGGAACTTGTTGCCTAATCTAGTAGCAAGTAAGGCTTTCTTAGCTACAGATTCAGGAGCAGCACAAAGAAAACCAGGATCGCTTGTTGAAAATCGTAATACAACATTTAGACGTGGTGAAAGCAAATTTTCAGCCTCAAATGGATATTTTCCTTCCACACAAATTGTAACAAACGGTGGCAAATGATTGATCTGAAAATATTTTGTAATAGCTAAACCAATATCTTGATTCGGAACTTCAGATCTGATTTCCAATTGCAAATATGAAAATTACCAAAGAGGCGTTATTTTTATCGATATCCACTGAAATATATATTTTTGGTATTCTTCTTTGCACATTATTTAGAATTGTTCGATTTGATATTACCATAACTGCCAAATTTGGACCAAAATGTACAACTTTTGTGAGTGGGAAGTCATCCAGAAACGAATCGATGGTTCGCCAGGCCAAATCTAATTCAATATAACTGGACTGGACATCAAGCGATGGCACAAACTAAAAAAGTACGATAAAACTGCATGATAACAATTTTAAAAATGTAAAAATATAGTGAAATCTCTCTGACAATGCTTTCCAATGAATAAGAAATATTTTACTGATTGAAAAATATGCCAATGCTTTTGAATATGAAAAAACAATCATTGCTAATTATATAGTGCCATTCAAAGACAGTTATGAGGGCTTCTGATTCTTTCATTCTTAAAACTGCTATCCAAAACATACTCAAAAAATCACTTTTCAAATACGAGTTTCAGCATAATCATAATGACATCTAATCAACAGTTATTCATTAAATGATAAGAGATAAACAATAACCTTAATAAAAAGTTCATCACAAACTTGAGTTATCTGAAACAAGTCTCGAGTTGTATAAGGTAATTGATAACGATCGGTGGTTCGCACTTCGAAATTCACGAATAGATGACTCGCTTTACAATAACCAATACGAGTAGCAAGTTGTAAAAGCTTAATAAAAATGGATTAACTTTTTTCTGATTTCATTTTGATAACAAAACTCATGTGAAATAAAATCTTACAGTCTCTGTGTTCAGTATTTTGCAGCCACTAAAATCCTGATAAACAGCTCGGAAGCATGAGTCTGGAGAATCACGAATCGTTAGACAGGGTATTGCACCTGTAAAAAGCAAAGGATTACCATCATCCCCCTCCCACACGAAAGTACAAGAAAATGAATAAAAACCTACCGATCTTCTTTGGTTGTTCATTATTTACAGTGCCAGTGATCTTTGCTGTAGATTCAGGCAGTGTTTCATGCAGTGTTATTAATGATGTTTCGGTATTTGAATTAACAATCTGAAAAATGTTTAGTTACCAAAAGAACCGTACAATACGATATCTTATTCGTAATACAAATCTGTTATTTTTTTCTAAATATTGAAGCTTGCAAGTAACAACGTATAATTAAGAACCACTATCCACAAAGTGATTTAATATAACGAACTTTAATATATTTAATTTAAAAGAAACCTTGTGGAAATATCCAAGAATCTTGGGAATGAATCAGAAACTAGATAAATTAGGACCTCAGAACCTTCTTTAAAGATTCTCAGTATTTGTACAAGAGTGGAAAAACCATGGCGAACACCGGTAGGATCTTCTCCATATATTTCTATGCCATCTTCATCGATCGTCAATGTATATGCACCAGAACAACAGCCATTTTTAAAAATACCACACGTAATTCGGCCATCTAAAGAAGACTGCTCTCGAACCTACAAATGTTTCGCGTAGTGCCATCGTCACTCTTAAAACCTCTAAGATGACTCAGTTACAGTGTTTTCAACCCGCTGATTTTCTTTTTCAATTCCTTTTGCAGATAATCGATCGGTATTCTCTCGATAACGGTACTTGTACGATATTTAACTGGATGAAATACAATAACTCTGCTAATATTAGCTAAAATTTAAATTCCAAAAAATCGTTCGAAAATAGCTTACTCCATGACCCCTATAATCCAATTCTAGATGAACAGTTGAAAGTATAGGTGCTGACATCTGGATTATTTGCATTAAACGTCGCGGTTCTGCTTCACTAGCTTTATCAAAATAGATTTTTAAGCGACCATCTTTTGGATATGGGCAAGTGCGATCCCTGCACAACAAACACTTGGTTAAAACTGTGGAAACTACAGCAGAGTACATTCAAGTAACGATTGACTTTTACATACCTTTCATCTAGATCTATATATTTTGGCTGAGGCCATAATAAGTCAATCCAGTTTTCTAGTCGACCAGCGCTATAATTTGACGTTTTTTCTACAAACGTCGTTGTATCGGTTGATATTAAAGAAGAGCGATCAATTTCTGATTCTATGGATGTCGTACGACGAATTTTACGGTTCAATCTATAAAAGTATAATCTATGAAATCTATAAAAACTAAGACGGAGTATAGTCATTAATAATACTGAACTACAGTTGTGGCTTATCTATAATACGATTAAACTAAATTTTAGAATTCCAAGTAAGAAGATTCAAATAATCAAATAATTATTATGAAGAATTTAAACATGGATACAAAAAATTACGTATTCAAACTCAAGCTAGGCAACATAGTTCCTCCCATTTTTGCAGCTAATTCGTAACAGTCCTCTCCACTTTTATTCTTAATACTTGGATCTGCTCCGTAGCTTAGCAAACATTTTACGACGGCTTCATTTCCTCGGCGTACTGCGTCATGTAATGCTGTTTCATTTTTCGTATTTAACGTGTTGATATTTGCTCCACTCTGACACAGTATCCTAGATCAACGGCATAATTACACGAGTCATTCACGACTTTAAAACATTATTTCAGATAACGCAAATTACCTTAATCTTCGTTTCTAAAAACAGAAAAACACAATTTCAAGACATATTCCTATTAAAATTAAGTTTCCAACCTCACGACATCTTCATTTCCATAAGATGCACCCCAGTGTAATGCAGTATTGCCAGTACTCACGGTATCAATCGAATCCACGCTAACTCCAGCGGATATCATTTGACAAACTCGACCCAAACTACAACAAGCAATGCTTTAAATGTATACGAAAAAAATGAATGTTTATTCTAGACAACAGTTAATTACGAGAAAAACAAACTTTGACTGGGCAACGGCTTGCAATAATTCTTGAACGAATGCATTCTTAACCTCTTCTGAGGACGCCAACCGATACGCTGTATTATTACTGTCGTTTTGGACACAAGGGTTTACACCTGCTGATAGCAACGTTCGCACACTATCCACCGAATCTATGAACTTGTTATTAGGAAAAAAATCTTCGTGTTTTTTAACATTTTGTAGGAAGTAATTAATAGAAATCAGTTGTATCTACAGCACAAAAATATCAAGCAAAATTTGCAATATGGTTGTAAAAATAAGTAATTTTTGCAAAGTATACTATTTCTGAGTTTAAAAACACAATAGAAGTTAGAATTATGTCACTACATAACTTGTCACGATAAAACTAAGAGAAAGTTCCTGCATAAATAATAGACTAAAAATGATTGGAAAAATAGTTACTTCGAACTACTGCATGATGTAGCACCGTCCCTCCATTATAACATATCTGATTTACTTGCTCGTGAAAATTTGACTTCGAGACTGTAATCATTGATGTTACTAAAAAAAATCCTTCAACGGTAATGATAGTTCCAATACTAAGGCAACAGCTTCAAATAATGCACCTGCACTTTGTAAATCTCTTTAGAAATCGACTAATAAACTTTAAGGAAGAAATTACGCATAATTAACCGATCTGTTCAAGAAGAGACCGTAATACATCAACTCGTTCATCATCCACACTTTTTAACAATAAAGAACAGATATTTTCCTCATTATTAGCAGTAGTGTTATAGTTCGATGTGATGTTGTTCGGTATGCCATTCCGAACCAGCATTTCCGACGTTAGTCAGTTCGATGAATATTCTGAAATATTAAAATTACACGCCATAGACATAGTTGAATTACATTACCTTTAGTAATGTAATTCAACTATGCATAAGTAGAATACATATAAATCTGACTGTCCATAAGCTCAGGTCAAAACAGGCAATGCATTCATTGTGCTGATGAGCAGTGCAACATTGCTAAGTGATTTCGAAAAAGAAAGAATTTATTTCTACTAAAAACATTCGCAGAGACCAAAATTATGAATCAAACGGAATTTCAAACCAGCAGCAACCCAAACCTCATGGAACTTTGATCAACGAGTTTTACCACACCGAGTTAAAACAGTATCATGGCTACGTTTAATGCGTCCCCATTGTGCAATTTTATCAAAATCGATCCTTATTTCTGTTTTGTCTAGATTATTGGTTGGAAGTAAGGGAATTTTTACAGGAATGATCGGAAGAAGTTTAAGTAACGTCCTGCATTAACTAATTTTCTCTGTATTTATTATTCTCTAACCCCAATCCTAGATTATATGTTCCTTATTCTATCCTGTATATCCTGTCCTGTTCCGTTCTACTGGACGCTATTCGATTCTATTCCATTTCTTTTTCGACTGATTGCACTTTTATATTGCTTTTATCTATGTATATTTTGCAACCTTTTTCGTACGATCAAAGTCTTTTGACAAATATTAATTAAAAGATTAAATCTATTTCCTTTTCTATCTCCTTTGTATAGCAACATTATAAAGTTAGCAGAGGAAATTTCTTTCAAATTTAACACCAAATGACCTGTTAACTAATAATTTTTGAAAATTGTAAGCTGCGCGACTTCTAGTGCATGTTCTTTTGTCCTAATAATCTGTGGCTTTCTTCAAAGATCAAAGTCCCAATTCCTAACTAACATTTACAAGTTATGCTATTTGTTTTACTATCAGTGATAAGATGATAGAAATTGACAGGGCAGTCAGTAAAACTAGGTTTGGTTAATCATGCTGCTTATTTTATACAAAGCTTTTTCAGTGTGATCGTACTGCACCTGCAGATTTCTTCTTGGCAATTACTGTTTGCTTTTCCTAGCAGAGGGGAAAGCTTCAAAAGCGAGAGATCACATTGTTAATAGTGTGAACGAATGGCTGACATCTTTAAATATATATCTAAAAATGACAGAAAATAATGCAAACAAGGAGATTTAAATCATGCTTGTTCTATTCCGTGTTGTAAAGATGTGCAGTTCAGTAAGATGTTTGACTTATGGTTATGTCTGTTCCATTCGTTCTTCACTGTTCTTTTCCTTTATGTAGAATCTTTTGAGTGTCACAGCATTTGAAAAGGAAATAACTTTGGCATATTTATAGTTTTAACTTCAAAGAAGATTCAATTTTCATTGCACGATATTGTCAGCGTGACATAAAATAGGATGCTGGAAGAAATGGTCTTCAATCTAAGTGTAATAGTCATTTTGTTTGCATTGTAAGTTTAGTATTTTAAGTGTTTATAAATGGTTTTCAGGACTGTGAGAATGTCACTTGATGAGAAGGATAAAGCTGATATCGCGGTGATTGGACTCGCCGTGATGGGGCAAAATTTGATTCTTAACATGCTTGAGAAAGGTTTCGTGGTTAGTTATAACTTCGTGTTCTATGTTTAATTCTCGATGTCACATCACACATTATAGATATATGCTTTTTTAGCGGTATTTCATAAACCTTGAGTGGAAAGAACTAAGTGTCATGATGAAATCGGGAACATGGATAAACTGTTTATTTTATTATTTATTATTTATCACTTATTTATTACTACTATTACCAATGTTATTATTATTATTTTTTGTTTTTATTATTATATATTTATTTTACCATTATTACTATTTTATTATCCGGCTGAGCAACTACATTTTTGATTCATGTCGTGTTAAAGGTATGCGTCTATAATCGAACTGTATCGAAAGTGGATGATTTTTTGGCGAATGAAGGAAAGGGTTTACGGGCTCTTGGTGCACATAGTTTATCGGAATTAGCTGAGTAAGTATGCAACTTTCAAAAGAATAATTTCGGAATTACTTGTAATTTGGATAATGAAATATATATTGGGTTTGAAAAATAGAGTTATTTCATGTGGAAGTAGAAGTTATTTCATTTGAGGTGTATTTAAAGCTCTTTATGTCAGAGTTCTAAAGAAACCACGACGTATAATGTTGATGGTAAAAGCAGGGCAACCAGTGGATGCAATGATTTCCAGCATTTTGCCTTTTCTGGATAAAGGTGATATAATTATTGATGGTGGAAATAGTGAATATACGGATACAGCAGTAGGTTTCTTTCATTTTACCTACTTTTAGTTTATATTCCTTTCTGTAACTGATTTGTTTCATACAAAAGAAAGAAACAAGCTGAATGAGCAAATTTCTGACTTGACTCAATCAAAGAAAATAAAAGGCTTTGCAAGCTTAGATGACTCATATATATTCATTTTAGTACTTTGGATGGGAAGGTCGAAAATAAAGTTTTCCAAATATCTTTTTTTGCAGCGACGCTGCACCGAACTGAAAGAGAAGAATATTCGTTTCGTCGGTTGCGGTGTAAGTGGTGGTGAGGAAGGTACCGTTTTAAGATTTACAGTTTCATGTTCCACTATGTAAAATTTGGTGAGATTACTTTTGCTCACTGGCTGAACAAGGTAAGAGAAAGAAGGTGTCTCATTTCTGTCACAATTTTATATACTTAATGTTTTAATCTCCGTTTCGTGTAGTTTTTGAGGACCAGAAAAGATTTTCATGGACCAAATGAATGTAGACTGTGCTAGTTGTTATTGCATATTGAAAGCACCTGTTTTCAGGAGCACGCCATGGTCCATCACTGATGCCAGGTGGTTCAGCTGAAGCTTGGCCATATATAAAGGATATATTCCAAGCAATAGCAGCTAAAGTTGACAACGAACCTTGTTGTGACTGGGTGAAATTATTTTACTTTCACTATGCCAAAATGCAGTTGTACATAGGCATATTTGTGATTAGCAGTTGAACATTCAGATATTTTCAGGTTGGTGAAAATGGTGCTGGACATTTCGTGAAAATGGTTCATAATGGAATTGAATATGGTGATATGCAGTTGATTGCAGAAGCGTATAGTCTATTGAAGGACGGAGCCGACTTAACACATGATGAAATGGCAGAGGTCAGTCAAAATTTTTGGTTTTTAGCTTTCAACAAATAATTTTTGGCTTTTATAGCATTCCTTATTATTAGTTATTTTAATAAGCACATTTCCAGAGCAGATAACATTTCATGGATGTTGCTTTATATCATGTTATTTTTATAGTAGTCTGATTGCTTTATATTAGTGAAATTTCATTAAGTGCTTTAATCGCGTCTTATATTGTTGCGGTCTGGAATTTATTTGGTTTCGCATCGCTCGATCAATAATTATTTGAGATATATTTATGTTTGCGTTTTTTCATTGCATATTTTCTTGTAAGGGACTTTGAGATAATGTTCATGATATTAACAGTTATGGATCTTCTTAACATGAGCTATTTATCTTTATTTTTGAATCTTCTAGTTTATCTCTTGTTTTTCTCTTTATTTGGACTCTTTTGATTTAATGGTTCATTTTTCATTTAATTTTGATTTAATGGGGTTAATTTTGATTCACAGTATTTTCCAGTTGCTTTCAGTTTTATTTGCAAATCGACCAAAACTTCTAACATTTCGTTATGTTTTTGATTGTTCATTTTGATTACATTAATTATCAGTAAGCGCAGTATTTTTCGATTTTTTCACTTAGAAAAAATCATTAGAGAATCAAGGAACAACTCCGATGACCAAAAATATACAAGAAATATTATTTCAATCTGCAGTTTTTCTATGAGTGCAGTGAGCAGTATTGATGAAATAAGTTGCGTGGAAGATTTGGATTTCGTTCGCAGTTGCTTTAAGAATTCACTCAGATTTTGGTAAAGTAAAATTCGGTGATCTTTTAAAACTGTCAAATTTCTTAGTTTTGTTCAGGATAGCGTTAAAAGCTCTTCCACTTTGATAATGGCATGAGTGAATATATATGTGGGTGCATATCTTCGTCGCCATCATTCAGCTTATCGATTTCACTGGTTACGCCTGCATGTATTACACAATTCTCATTCAAAAAAAAAGCTTTCAACAGTATTGTTGCTCGTTGTATCATGGCATGACGAGAATGCACTTGTCAAACTATTGTTCAACGAAAGGAGGTCTTTGAAATCCAAGCTTTTAATAAGGAGAATCTTGCTTTGCTAACTGTGTGGAATTTTTATTGCCGACTATTTGGGAAAGATATCAAAATCTTCAGTTATATCTGCGAATTCATTATAAAGCCGTTACAAAAGTTTATTGTTACGGGTAGAATTCTCTTCCAAAGCTGATAGGTCAGCATTTCAGAAAAAAGGAAGAAAGCTCGTGGCTCGCATTACAATACCATCTGAAACTTGCAATGTACCGTGGATAGAAGCAGTTGTTGATATCGATCTCAACAAGTTTCTTTTTGTATAGTTAGAAGTGAGAATTACTGATCAACTTCCAACTTTTGATCATATAGTGCACTTTGTCAAAATCGAATCAGTAATTATAGGGAATAATTTTTCAGTGGATATGGATGCGAGTCATCCAATAAGTCTGCTAAGGACTCCTCTCTCCATTGCTTTGTGAATAATTCAATTTAAATCCTTTACGTGAAAACCCAGAATCATGTTGAAACGTTGAAATCAAAATGCTTTAATGGAATGTCAGGTGTAGAGAAATTTGTAAGAAATATGTCTTAACTTTACGAATTCATCAGTTCGGGAAAGTTGAAAATATTAAGGCATTGTAGTGCCGAAAAGAATATCAGCCAAGAACAAGAAGTGTATAATATTCAGGTTGATTATTTATGAAAAATTCTATCTATTACATTGATTATAGTGAGCGGAAAGAAACGAAATGTTTCTATTAATGGCAATATTGGTGCACTGTAGAACTAAATATATATTGCCT